ATTACTCCTGATTAGCAGCTTCTCCGGATGATCACAGATCAATTGACTGAAACCGAAGGGTCTCAAGGAAAGTTTTATTTAATCTCGAATAGAATAAACTAGTCTTCTCTCTTGAATGATAAAAATAACAGATCTCTACGATATTCCTATCAAAAGTTATTCAAACAAGACTACAGTTCCACGATGGTATACAATGTGAAATTCATATAAGGATTTTTATGCTAAATAAAATATTTTTAGATATTCTCTATAACCTAGATATTTTCATAATTACATAAGGATAATAGTTGGAATCATTTTCACAACAGAAGCAAATCTTTTTTTGATGGTTTTTTAATGAAAGCATGAATTGACAGCTACTAGCTATTATTAAGAATTTCTGACAATTGATTAAAAATTGTTCAGAAAAGTGAACTTGAAAATCTTTGGTTTAAACCAGATTTAACTTCTGATGATTTATTAATTTTTCATCACTATAAAAAAATTTATTTAGCGTAACCCGAAATCCTCATCATATGATGAGAAAGTGTGAGCTCAATATTTAGAACTGGAACTCTGATGAGAACTAAAAATGTGTGAATCGAAGACTTTTAGGCTCATATCTCTTGGTCGCCAAAGTCATGGAAATTGATAAAATGAAAATCAGCGGGTCCTATTTCAAGTATCTTACAAATTATATTATCAACTTTACAGCAATTCGTTCCTACGCTATGTGTCATAAGTGTTAAAACATCACTTCACTCTGACTACGAGCAAACCAAATAAATCCATAATTATGGCTTCATGAATACTTACCGTGGTTTTTATACTCTGTGAAATGATTCTGCATAATAGAACGCATTATTAAGAAAACCGACTCATCTTTCTTCTATATTATACAATAGAAAAGAACAAAGGAAGAAAAAACAATACCTGGTCGATAATTTTGAAAATCATCATTTAGTATATTCATCAATCTTAAATTGTAAGTTGTAAAAATTCTCATAGTTAAATGATAATATTAAATTCATAAGAGAATATTTGAATGTATAGAAAATACATTAAATTCTCACTGATTTCATACTTCTTCTCAGATAAAATATTCAAAGTTCGAAATCGTCAATTAGAAACATTTTTTTTTCGGCAGAACATCAATTAACTATCATGTATCTCTAATTGTATGTAAGAACTCGAATCGTGGGTCATTGTTTCTTTTCCTATCTCGTTCCCGTAGGAAAATCACGGGAACAGAAATTCCCTAAAATGTTTGAGAAATCCTTGTTCTTCTCATAATCAGGTTGTCTCTAGAACCGTCATATGTCCATGATAAACTAGCAGCAACTTATTTTATTGACTAGAGCTCGTACGGATAATAAATAATAGTCTTACAGATAATCGTGTTATGGTTGATGTGAGCTCTTTTACAATTTTTCATTGCTTGTAAATAGCATCCAAAAAAAGAAATTGAGGTAACTTCTGTTAACGTTTACTGTATAAAAAAAATGATACCTGTAATCTTTTTTGAGATATAACATATATGGAATTATACACATATTTTATATAAGAATCAGAAGGAGAAGGGATAAAACAGAATGCATTCAAGTTGAGGTATAGTTTTATATATACTATAAAAGTTCTCTCCATCATACAAACGCAATACTCAAACTTTTGTTTTGAAAAAACAGAGAATGCTATTAAAATTCCATCCAATCAAATATGTATATCAATATGTGTTGTTCGGAAAATATTTTCTATTATGTAAACATATCACAATTAAGACTAAAAATTCCAATCAATTTAACTTATAGTACGGATATCTTAGCACAAAATATTTACTCATTTTTCGGTCACTTAAACTCAGACGGTTCGAATCAGAATTTTTTCGCTCTTTCTCTTCTCATTCTAAAGTAATATTCGACAACTATCAAATAGATTATTTCAAAACAGTAGTTGTACAGAATACTATTTTAGGCTAGACAATTTTTAATGGTCCAGTTTTGTAGAGCAAAGTTTACTGTACAAAGTATGTTATTTACTTTTGCACGATAGATTTTAAAACTAATGGTTTTTTTTTTGACCAATACTGATTTCCATAGAAACTAGCGATTTATTGGAAATGCATTTCGATTATTGTAATAACTTATTTTGTACAGAATTCAGTAATGTTGAGTTGGAGCTATTCTAAGATACAAACTAATAATTGTACCGAAACCAGTACTTTACTTTCTGCAAACATAATTTTAGACTTTTTTCAGAAAATTTACTTGTAGTTGTTCAATCTCATTCTCACTGGTTCTAACTAATCACTTCTAGCTCTAATCAATCATCTTTTAATGATCAAAAAAAAAAAAAATGAACGAATATATTGTGCATAGATTTTTGCACTATAGATTAGTTTAATAAAAGAATAAAAATAAAAGTAATTTGATTCTTGAAAATTATATCGAATGATCAGAAAGTTTCTATACAAGATATTTGTAGACTTTTGACCGGCTAGAAAATTTATGAGCCAATATTTTCGACGAACATAATTTGTTCATTTTTACCTACTTCAAAAGTATTTCAGACGAGCCATAATTTTGTGTAACACGATCTCTAAAAGGAGTTTCGAAGTATAGGAATAAAAATTTGAACTCCCTCCTCCTAGGCCATAACAGGCGCCCGACAAAGATGATCACAGATGGTGACAGATGCCTGCCAGAGATTAGCACAGATGATGACAGATGCCTGTTGGAAAACGTCATAGATCGCAACAGACGCCTGTCAGAGGTTTTTTAAAGATGTCCTTTCAGTGTAAAACAGTTGTTGATTTTTCACAAATGAGTATTAAGGAAAAACAAAAATTGAGGTGTCTCATCATAAGAGAAAAAAAAATCTTCAAATAAGGTATTTCTTACGAGGAAAGGCCACCAACTGTCTCCTCGCTGTTGAGCTGAAACTCAGTTGACCATAGGTAATCGAACGTGCTGATTCCGAATATCACAATGGTTTTTGCCCGCTTTCGAATTAAAGACTCATTTTCTAAAGATCTTGGTTTTTCAACCGAAAAACCATTTTCACTAAAAAATTTTCTTGACCTGTCCAAATGAAAGAGCACGTCGTCAAACCTACAGAAAACAATTTTTCAAGGTTCTAAGCGAGGTTTTGAGCGAGTTTTCTGCGTCTAAAACTTAAAAAAAGAGGGAAAAACCGCTAATATTCTTACACAATTTATGAAAGAAAAACTACAGTTTTTCTTTCTGTTCTGTTTTTTTACTTATCAAAGGCATTCAAAGAGGAAGGCTGCATGCATGTGTTAGACATGATATACATCATGATACATTCCAATTTCACAAGAATTTGGTAAAAAGGAAAAACTGAACACAGATAGCAGCTATAGAAAAATTTTCAAAGCATGTGAGATGCATAATTCAGTGCAAAGAACAGAGAACGGTAGAAAAATATTTATAAGAGCAGCAGTCTATAAAAATATATGTAATTTTAACACTCTTATGGAGTGTCAGAGTTATATAACGTTCGACACCAAGAAAGAAAAATAGTAGTTTCTCTTTCATAAATTGTGTAAGAATATTAGCGGTTTTTCCCTCTTTTTTTAAGTTTTAGACGCAGAAAACTCGCTTAGAACCTTGAAAAATTGTTTTCTGTAGGTTTGACGACGTGCTCTTTCATTTGGACAGGTCAAGAAAATTTTTTAGTGAAAATGGTTTTTCGGTTGAAAAACCAAGATCTTTAAAAAATGAGTCTTTAAATCGAAAGCGGGCAAAAACCATTGTGATATTCGGAATCAGCACGTTCGAACACCTATTATCAACTGAGTTTCAGCTCAAAAGCGAGGAGACAGTTGGTGGCCTTTCCTCGTTAGAATAGTTTCTGATCTACAAGTTGATATATATAAATAAAGATTTTAACTTCCAAATTAAAGATTATTTCACTACTCTCGAACAAAATTTTCTATTTCTAACTCATCAGAAATATTTTCTTACAGGTCAAAAGTCTACAAACATCTTATCTAAAAACTTTATAATTACCCATTATTATTGAAAATGAAAGATTTGATATAGGTTATTTGATTTTCTATATAACGGATTTATACATTTTACTTTTGTGCAATAATGATAAAATTTTTAGTTCATTTAAAAAATTTATTTATTTAATAAATCAATATAATGTACAAAAGAAAAAAATACATAAAATTAACGTACTCATTTTTCTTTTGTTTAATATTGAAAATATCTTCAAATTATATATCACATGTAAATTAATATTTGCATTAGACTTGAAGTCGACTATGGCATCTCATGATGACTTGTAATTTTCCGTAGCTCATTATGAAATCATTTGATAAGAAATAACTTGAATAAATAATCTATGAAAGTATTCAATTGAATAATTTTACTGTAGGAATCTTTTCAATATCAAAATAATTAATAATCAAATCGATAAAGAAAATAATCCAAACACCTTTAAATTTGATATTATTATCAAATGCTAAATTTCAATTCCTTTTATACTTTTACTAAACATTATTTTTATATGATTTCTTTTGTTCTATTAATCGCAAACAAAATACATTATAAATTCTATAAACGAAATCCTTTTTTTTTTTGTAATAATTACGATTATTATTTCATTCTTTTTTGTTCTTGTATTAAATTTTCATATATATAAATTTAAAGACAAACTTGTTACATTAATCGAATAAAAGATTATATATACATATATATTGCCAATATTTAACAAAATTCCTATTTGATTTCATTCAGCTCAATATTATAATATTCGAAATTCTAATAATATAGCATTTTTGTTTCTTTACCTTTATTTATGTGTAGTCGAGACATTTATATACATTCGGGAAATCTCTTAATTGAAGAGAAATCAAGTAAATCTTATTTCAACAAAAAAAACATAACCTATGAATCATTGATATATTGTTATGAATTACACCAATCGTTGAACTGTTTGTTTTTTTTTTCTCCATTGTATTAAAACCTAGAAATATTTACCACAATAAATCACCATCAGGATGTATCTGTTGATTGTTTTCGTCTATAAGAAATCAAAACGGGGAATAGAACAATAGAAAAAAGGCTCACGAGATATACGTATATATATATGTATAATAATCTTATTGTCTTGATCACAAAATAAATCATATATCAGGGCACACTGCCTCATGTGTTTTATTATACACTACAACATATCTGATAAAGTAAACGAAGAAAACAAAAAACAAGAAAACAAAAAAAGAAAAACGAGATCATTCACCGAATAGCACGAATGTGTATGTCTTGTTTGAAACTAGAAAACTTACACGACCACTGCAATTGACATTGTTTGTCCAATAGATGAACAACATGAAGAGAGTTCGATGTATTCACTAAATTTTCTTTTTATGTATATAATTTTATATACTTTAATCTCTCTTTAATACCTGTTTGTTACTTTGACAGAATTTAATTCACGAAGAAATTGTAAAATATCATTATCAATAGAATTTTTACATTTTTTACTTTTCGATGATACATCATGATGATCAGATGATAATTTTCGTTTATTTGTATCAACTGTTGATAATGGTATAGGTTTTTCTATTAAACAATCTGAATTTAATAATTCACATACATGTACATATGTTCGTTTAAGTAATAATTGTGTATATAATGTTTGTGAACGTTGTCGACGAAGTTGTTTTTGTTTTGTTGTTGTTAAGTCAAGTATATTACGTGCTTCGGAATAATCCATATCGAAGACAAATTCATCTGATGTAAAAGATAGATGTTCATTTTGTTGTGGCATTATAAATTAAATTATATATTAATGAAAGTTTAAAGTTAACTTACGATTGAGCAAAACGTACAAATGAATGAATGAATGAATGTGAATGAATAATCAGTTGTGTAATATATAGTGGGCTGCAACAATGACACACTAGGAGGATGTTTGACTCATATAAAATACATCAGAATAGAGGATTACTGATAAAGATGGTGATTTGGATTTTTCCGTTTTAGTTAAAAACTTGATAAATTAATTTTAAAACAAATGTTTGAATAATTTATTTTGAAATAGGTACTTATTTTTTGAGAATTTCAGAGTTTTAAAGCGACATCTATATATATCGACCAGATGGAGACATAATTAATAACCGCTTTTTGCATTTCATTTTTTCATCAGTTAATTCGTTTTATCGAAAAAAAACAAAAGATATGACCAGATGCAATGTGAAAAGCTCTACAATTTAAGAAAGACAGCTCATTTTATAATTGTACTTTTTATTTCCAGAATGGACACGACTCGGAGCGAGCAAATTTTGACACTGCGAAGAAGATGATTTATTGATATACGACGAATTCTTTTTCTTATTCCTTTCCTTAACGAGCCATGTTGAAAGCCATAATCGATGGCCGACTGTAGAGTAATTGATGAGTGTTTCATTATATTTTCCGATTCACTCTGACACTACTTACTAGAGGCACATACAAGAGTCATATAATACCATATCACAGCTGTACAAGTGCTGTTAGTTAAGAAAAAGAATTACAATCCAAAAACCTTCGAAACGTGGTTATGCGAATGATTGATGATGAGATGAGATCGGTACAAATGACCAAACAATTACGAAATGTGGTCAGCCAATGTACAATTAGATGATGGAAAAATTTGTGTAAAGAAACTACTGAACATGATCTGAAAAAATCTATGGGTAGACATAAAATTGTGCGAACGAATGGTTTTATACAAAAGGTTAAACAACGATTAATTTACAAAGGTCGACGAAGTGCAAGGCAATTAGCTACACGTGTTTTCGAAAAAAAAAACTTGTACGACTTCTTCTACATATATTATCTTCTATATAAGTGTTTTTCGAATTTTTTTATAGTGTGATGGATAGCCCGCGACGAGTACTACACGACATCATAATTTTATATTCTATCTGCTCACTTGTAGAAGAAAAATAAGACAAACATTTCTATTTCTTGGACGCAAGAAAAATATTAATAATCGAAATTTCAACATTTTTGACTTTTTCACCTGAAAAATGTTGATTAAATAGATTTTATTCGTTCACCTTTACAATCGATAAGAGATAAACATGTTTTTTTCATAGATATCACACACGTTTTTACAACATTAATATCAATATTTCTGAATTCTTCAGCTAAAAAAAGTTCGAACTCATCAATATTTACAGGTTTTCTTTTTTCTACGTTGCATTTCACTATTGACCATGTGTTCTTGATCAGATTTGCATCTGGACTGTTAGATGACCAGACTAATATTTGTGATACATTTTCGTCGATAAAATTGTTTACAAATATTACTCATGTGTTTGGGATCGTTATCCGGCTGTAAGCGCCAGTTTTGATCAAACTGATCCAAACGAAAGAATCAGCAAGTAATGTTACATTATTTTCTCTCATTACTTAGGCCTGGCAGTCGGAACAAGATAGTCTTCAAGAATACTAGCATAATATGAACCATCAAGATTGCATCGAAACGTGTGACAGATCAATACGCCTTCCATACTTATTATCCACAGATTTGAACTTTTTGACGAGTTTTAGGTGAGCATTTTAATTCTTTACTAGGATTTTTCCTCCGTCGACGAACTGTATTTCGAAAAAGCTGAAATGAAGATTCATCTGTAAATATTCTTTTAGTACAATCACCGTTTTTATGCTTTTCAGTCCATTGTATACGTCGTTCTTTTTCGTCCGATGTTTACATATTAGTAGATTGAGGTAAAATATTTTTATAGCCATATTCATCAAGATAACGGCTAAATCGTTGATATCAATACTGATTTGTAGTACATCTTCGATAATCTTTCTTTTATTTCGCTTTTTTAAAATTCTAGATGGCTGTATGCTTTGATACACCCTTGGATGGGCGGCGCAAGGTCAGTTTTGTAGGGGTAGCAATAAACTGTTAAATGAGCTCTACTTTCTTCCTCTTGCTCAATCCGATGCAAAAAACTTTTTTACTGAGAACTGAACTTCTCGAATGTGATGTATGCAAAGCTCGAGCATTAACTACTCTAGTAGTGCATTAAACCCGCTATACTTCGTATATGTACTTTTTATTGAGTACGTTTACTACTTCAATTTTAGTCTTCAGTCACTATTACATGTTCACAAATGTTTATTATTAATAGGAAAAAATACGTTTTTGTTCGAGAATGTTATAGAATTATTTTGTTCATTTTCAAAAAAATGTTTTTCTTTTATCTTTTTTCAATAGAAAAGCAGTTCCAATAGCATCAATATCAATTTCATAATCTCATTCAAACGGATGTTTCATAATAAATGACCGATTTTTGTATTTCAGATTTTAATCTTTAAAAATTTTTATTAAAAAATCGAGTATACCACAAGATGCAGCGTGCAAAGATCTACAATTCACGAAGCAAGACTGATTTTGGTTGTTTAATTTTGATTTTGAAAAAGACAAAATTCTGTACAACGACTTTTTGAAGGCGTCAAAAAATCATTTCTTCGCTCTTATTTTATCGGTATGTCTCTTAATATATTTTCTTTAAAAAAGTATAATACACCAGAAGGTGCAGAGTGAAAAGATCTACAATCCGCAGAGTGAAGCATATTTTGGTTGTGTAATTTTTGTTTTCAAAAAAAAACCAAAATTCCGTGAGAATAGTTTCCATTATACCTAACAGATCATTTTTCTATTTTAATAAGCAAGTCATTTTTTTCTTATGTCATCCTTTTATCACCTAATTGGTTTTATCGTATATCTCTCAAGATGCAGCGTAAAAAATTCTACAGTGTACAAAGCAAAGCTTTTTTAATTGTATACTTTATATTTTGAAAAGAACCAAAAATCTGTGAGATCGTTTTGCGCAGCGTCGAAAATTGAATGCGCAGAATTCCATTTATTTTCAAAAAATACCAAGTATACAGTTAAAATAAGGTTTCCTTTGTGCCTGCAGAGATCTTTACACTGCATCTAGTGCTATTTTCTGTGCTTCTTTAAAATGTATTTAAAGATTAAAATATGAAATAGAAAAATTGGCCATTTATTATGGGACACTCCATGTATATTGCGGGAAATAGATACATCAGGATAGCAATAAACAGTTCTTGAGACAAAAATTCAATCTTCATACATAAAATACAGAATTACATCGAATATATGTATGTTGAATAAAGTAGTTTTACTCGAGAATATACAAGAAGCATGAAAATTTAGAGGAAGCAATAAGTTCTTATTGATTCCAATAATTTATTTTAGGGGTTGCAATTGCTAACTATTGCATTGCTGGTGCGTCCGCCGCCTATGCACCCTTGGCATGTTGTTATTTTATCCATTCCGTTCTACTGCACTATCATTGGTTTGTATGAAGACCAATCACATACAGCAACATCAGCATCATTGATGCATGGGATCGAACAAAAGGAAGTCATATAAGATATAATTCAAATTTCTTATTTTACACGGATATATCGATCAATCATATTCAAAAAAAAAACAAAAATATGAACATTAATACATGGATACAATTTGTTGTACTAATTCTTTGTTTGATAATAGTTGCAGCTAAAGATTTTTATGAAATCTTAGGTGTTAAACGAGATGCAAGTGAAAAAGAAATTAAAAGAAAATTTCGTCAATTAGGTAAAATAAAGAAAATTTCTATTTTAAAATAAATAAGTAAATTAAAAAAAAATTCTTACTATTATTATTTTTAGCTTTAAAATATCATCCAGATAAAAATAAAGAACCAAAAGCTGAAGAAAAATTTCGTACTATAGTTGAAGCATATGACGTATTAAGTAGTCCAGACAAACGTCGTCAATATGATATGCATGGACGTCAATCATTTGAATCATCAAATCAAGATGATTTTTCGAATTTTCATTTTAATATGCATGATTTTTTTAAAGAATTTGATGCTGCACAATCTCAATTTTATGAAGCTCACCATCGAGCACATCAACAAGCACATCAAAAAGCACATCAACGTGCTCATCAACGTGCACATCAACGAGCACAACAAGGTTTTTTTAATTTTGATTTTGGTTCACTTTTCGATGATGATGATGAAATTGGAATGAATTCAAATAATCTTGATGATAATTTGTTGAATATTGGCGATCTATTTGGAGGATTTGGTAATAGTTTTGGTGGAGATAATGTTCATACGCATAGATCAAGTTTTTCAAAACATACTCATCAACATTGTCATACTATAACACGACGAGAAGGAAATACTGTATCAACAATTACTGAATGTAATTAAATTTGTCTTTCATTTCAATTTTCATCATGTATTATTTTATTTTATTTATTTTCTTGGTTTGATATCATTCTAATAAAAAAAAATCTCGTTTTTACATGTGGTTTTACTTTTAAAAGACATTAATATCAATTCATTACTGAATATTTTACTTTGTAATAATAGAAAATAAGTTGATGGAACTTTTCAAAATGCAGTAACCATTAGTATTTAATTCTTCTGACATATTGATAACTTTTATTACTCTCCGTCAGCATCTGATATCGATTAAGTTTTTGTGAGTCGAGCTCTGGTATCGATGGTTTTTCTCTTTCATTCTACAAAACCAATTTCTCAATCCATTTTATTTCCTTTCATTTCATAATTGGAAACAAACGATGTGTCCTTGATATTTCATAGTTTGAACAACACGATTATGTAGTAGAATTTTTTTTCGGTTTTTCTTTTCTTATGTAAACAATCTATCATTTTTATATGACCATTGAAGACACAGTACACTCGAGTGACACGATAGTTGAGCTCCCAACACTTGAGCCTTCAT